TCCTAAATATAATATTATCAGTTTCATCAATGTCGATATTACTAATATTTGATAAATTATTCTCATGTGATAACATCATATCTTTGTCGTCAATATCTTCATGCTCCATTAGAAGCTTGATCAACTTAACCATATTGGATGCATTATCACTAGTTATGCTATATATCTGGTTAATATCTATGTTTTGTGTTTTAAATATTTCCAAAATAACTTTTTTGATATTTTCCGAGGTAAGTTTTTCTGTGAGTTCTCTCATGCATATTGATCGCAATTGTATTTTCCCATCAGCTATAAATTGAATATTGACGCCTAAAATAGCGCTGTCATACCTTGATGCAATATCTAATTTTATAGAAATCATTTTATTGAAGATTTCTTTTTTTATATTAGCAAGGCATTTGCTAGCCATTTTATTAATATTATTCCTCATATTTTCTGAATTTATAGAAAAATTATCTCCAAGTCCTGTTATAATTGGGTTGATAATTTTTTTAAAAACTAAATCATCTAATAAGCTAAATGGCCGGCCATGTAAAGTAATAAGTTCTGTGCAAGCATTAACTAACATGTTTTTATCCATTTTAATTTTTATAATACTATTTAATGCCTGCTCAATAGATTTATTATGGCTAGGCTTTGATATTGATTGCAAAGGCTTGGAAAGCTTTAATTTTTTTGTAGTTAGGGATTCATATTCTTTAGAATGATGCCTTTGAATATGCCTTTCTAAATTAGCTGCATGGTCACTTTTAATATTGTACAATCATCTATTTTACAGGTTGATTCATTTAAGAGAATATTATAATTAAAAAATGAACGGACTGGGTTAACTTTGTGGCGGACCATTTTTCTAAAAACAAATTTTTATATATGATTAACGTAAATACAATAAAAAATATGAGATGATCACTGTCAACATCAAGTTGCAAAACCAAATCATATGGATATTATTATTTAAAAATTTATAGAAAAACCAATTTTTTAATTATACTCAAATTCCAAAATTTTATAAATAATATATAAAAATAAAACCTTATAAATTTGGTAATTTTGAAATTTAAATAATGGCCCACTATCATATTTAGTAAATAAAAAATTGGCTATTTTGATATTTTGCATACTAAAATATAAAAAATAGGAATATGGTTCTAATACTAATAAATACAAAAAAATGAGTTAAGAGCAAACAAATATTTTAAAATTATTTGATAAACTAATTAGAATTTATAATCCAACACAAATTCTATTATTTATAATAAAGGCTACAACTACTTAACTGCTTATTTAATCATGTCACATGCCAAAATTCTATAAATAATATATAAAATTAAGTATAAGTTTTGAAATTCTATGGGAACAATGACCCTTCCATCAAACTACTAATTGGTAGTGGTGATATTATACTTATATTAATTTAATAAATGTAACTAAATAAAAATTTGGTTATTTTGATATTTTGCATACTAAAATAAAGAAAAAGGAATGCTCTAATACTATATGATATATTTAAAAGGTTGTGGATAAATTTAAGTCAAAAATATTCTATTATTTATAATAAGGGCTATAACTGCTAATGCTTTAAAATATACTCATACACATGCTAAAATTCGATAAATATAATATATAAAATTAAAACCTTATAAGTTTTGAAATTCATATGGGACCAATGACCCTTCTATCAAACTCATGGGTGGTGGTGATATTATACTTAAATTAATTTAATAAATGTAACTAAATAAAAATTTGGTTATTTTGATATTTTGCATACTAAAATAAAGAAAAATGGAATGCTTAAATAGTATATGATATAGTTAAAAGATTGTGGATAAATTTAAATCATAGTTAAAAAATTAATACATACTTTATTAAGGATCAGATCACACAAATATTTTAATTATAAATAAGGATGTAGTTGGAGATATGGTTCAATATATAATTACACCACAAGGAAAAAATATGTAAAAAATTCAAGTAAAAAATATGTAAAAATTACAAATAATAATTTTATTTTGCTTTAAACCGGTTTAGCCATTTTTCATAAAGGTTCATTTTACTCCTTCAAAAATATTAATATCGGTTACGGTTACGGTTCAGATATTAATAAAGATTTATAACGGTTTCGCGGTTCGTTACGGTTCGCTCCTGGTCCCTGACCTAAACACAAAATTCAACATACAGGGTTTCCTATTCAAAAAAGGAAAAGTTCCAATCAAAAAAGGAAAAGTTTCAATCATAAAAGGAAAAGGTCCGATCAAAAAAGGAAAAGGGTCAATCATAAAAGGAAAAGGTCCAAACAAAAAAGGAAAAGTGTCAATCAAAAAAGAAAAATTCCCAAAAAGAAAGGAAAAAGTCCGATCAAAAAAGAAGTGCCAAGCAAAAAGAAAAAGGACTTAGGTGCTTAAAATGGTTCCATTTGAATTCACGTATTGGTGTGAGGGAAATTTGATGATTCAAGTAAACAATTGTCGTTATCCAATGATATCTCTTCGTCGTTCTGCACAATATATAATAAAAATAAAAATTAGATTCTATTTTTAAAAATGCACAAACGAAAATATAATTGTATAATAGTTTTATTTTAAAAAAAATCAAATAAATTCTGGTCGAAAGGCAAAAATTTTTTAACCCTGTAAGTCCTAAATTTCAATAATATCTCTCCTTATGTGCCTGGATTATAATTTAATTTTGATCTCTTCATAGAGATTTGTTTTTGAAATAAATAATTATAAAATGACTTCCTAGGTCGTTTTATAATGATATATTTAATTTTAAATAGCCATTATTTACGGTATCTTTAAAATAAGGAAAATAAAATTGTAATCGATAGGCATTTTATAAAAAATAAATTATTAACTATCTTCTAACATAAGCTTAAACTTTGGCCTAATAGAATTAAATGAAGGGAGCATTTTAGAATATGATTTACATTCCCCCCCCCCCTATATTTTTATTAATTTATTACTAACGACTTTTCATATCATTCCAATATTTTCAAATTATATCCGTGTTTTTGGAGAATTAATTATAGTAAGCAAATCACAATCTTTGTTTCTTTTCGCAAGTTTAGGTGAACCATTACTCAATTTAATTTAAAAAGGAAATCATTCATTGATTTTTTTCTGTCATATATTCTATATAAAGGTGGAACAGATATAAAAATATTATAGATCAGGCAGATTGGCAGATCGGAAATCATCTTTTGGAAAATGTGATCAAATTAGGATTGGAAATTTTTCCCGGAAAAAAAATAAGAAGGACCGTGGTTATTAAATAGCCTCAGATGAACCATTTATCTTTGGTTAAAATAAAAAGGATTCAACATTAGGTTCAAAACCATGATTGTAAGGTTACTAGTGAGATAATGAATAGTTAAAACATGTTTAATTTGGGCTCCTGATATTTAGGGCAACTCATAAATTTGGCCAAAATTTTGAGCCCTGATCAAATTCCCATTTATTTAATTAGAAAATGACTAACGATAAATGTAGAAACTGCCTAAGTTGGTCAAAAATATCGGTCACCACGGTGCCCAAATTAGAATAGGTTCTACCTTACATATTTATGTTATTATGCGTGAAGGCGTAATTTTGGCTGAGGTTTAGCTTCCAAAAATTATATAGGTGTTAGATATCGTAATTTTTGACAAAAGATTAAAATCGTAATCTGCTTGATTTCAATTATTATAAAAAGAAGACAATTATAAAATATAGTTAGATCTAGTAATCTGCTTCAGGTTTAATTTTACTAACCCGGCCCAGCCCGAAATTTTTTTAAAAATATTAGGCCCTATCCAGTCCGAACCGAAATTATTTTTAATAATAGACCCGGTCCAGGTAGGGGCCGTGCATCTCTTGTTTGAGCTAGTTATACTTTTTCTTTCTAAAAAAATGGGCCGTGTGGGGAATTAAATAATTTATCATTATGGGCTATTTATATTGAGAAGCCTAATCTCTTAATTTTAGATATCATTTACTGTGCCTAATTTCTAAATTCGTAAAATCTACTATCGGAAATGGGATCTAGCTTCCAGCATGCTTAGAGAACCCATAAATAGGAGTAGCGAAGGGAGTGAAACAGTGTGGGACATTATTCCTCATCGGTAGTTTCCCTGTTTTCGCATATATAATTATATAATTTCAAGCTAAATCAACCCCCCCCCCACTCCCTCTCTCCCCCAAAATTGTATAATACAATATATTACTAATAAACAAAAATTTAAAGAAGAAATGAAAAACCTTAAAAATTTTTTATAATTTGGTCAAAGTGGGAAATAAATCCCGCCAAATATAAAATTTATGTCTGCAATTGGCGGGGTTTTTTAACTGGCCCGCTATTGGTTTTAATTGTTATTTTACTCACCTGTTATCCCATTTCTTAAAATAATATTTAAAATAATTTTTAAAATATACCCGTTATCCTCATTCCGTTCGTAAATTATTTTTCAACCTGCGATTTGCAGATCTATTGTTGTTAAAAAGGCCCAAAGATTATAACCAAAATAACATTATATGTCCCTAAAGATTTTACGCTCATAGCAGGAAATGCTTGGACATCTATTTGCCAAATCTCGATGCCTACAAAATATTATTTTAGCTAAAATCTTAATCGGGCCGTTTTGAAAAAAATACCCAAATAGGACTTTTTAACAACACTGCTCAGATCTCTAAGCAAAGCTCCCGTAAATTATATTTGCACATCCCATGGAAAAATATAAATTCTAACCACTTTTATGATTAATATTCATAACTGTTATTAATTATCAAGATATAAATAAAATTTTTAAATAAATGTATTTTCGCTAGAGGGGTAGCCATAGTAATTATATAGATAATTCTAAATCAAAATTTCAAAAAAGGTTACATTTATTTAGTTTTTTTTTAAAATGTTTCCAAAAATATAAAATTGGGGAAATTTGACCCTTTTGGTGAAAAATATTCCTAAATTATAGATCTTACATCTAAAAAATTTATTTTTATTTATCATATAACAAAAAAAACTAGGTTCCTTTTGAAGAGCCAACCAAGAAAAGCGTAAGTTTTCTTCGCCTCTTTCTAATAAATAAAATAAATTGGGATCTAAAACGATAAAGAATATAGATTCGGCTAAGGTTTGAATCATTATTCAAGCTAAGTTCGTAACACATAATAATTTTGAATCGGTTAAAACAAATCTTTTTTTCGCATTATACATATTAGAATAATATAAAGAAAAAGAAAACATTGTTTAGAAATTTAATTATATTCTCTCGAATATAGTATTGAGCCGCATACAAATTAAATTTGGGATTCTCTCCTGTCAAATTATATCTATTAATGGAATAAGAATATATATTTTTTCGACTTCCAGAAGTAATTCATGATATTTATAGGTCAAAGCTGATTAATAATCATCTGTTAGTTAATATATCGAAAGGTTCGAACCGGTCCACCGATTCCATTCAGGCTCGAACGATATAATTTTAGATGGCTCAAGCTTCGTATATAATAACGATGAATAAAGGTTCGATTTGAATCCCAGAAAAAAATGCGTAAAAAATAATAGAATTGATTAGATGAAGAAACCTATATATACCTTTTTTCGAATACAAGTTTATTAGAATTTATGTAAATGTAAACATCAAATTTTCCAAAAAAATTTATCAATTACATAAAATAATAATAAAATATTGAGCCGTTAGGCTATGTCTTCGCAGCCAATTAAAAATTCGCATCATTCGAGCAGTTTGAAAAAGAGGGGGGGGGGAGAATAAAAATTGATATTTCAAAATAAAAATATTCTTTTCATTTTTTTAGTTATAGAATAATTTTTTTTTTTTAAATTTCTAGGAACTCAACTATATTTAAAGCTGACGCAATTCTTTTTTCATCATCTAAAGCTTTATTTAAGAAAAAAATTATTATTTTTTATTTGTTTCCAAAGATTAATATTTATTTATGAAGAAAATTTATAATTTTGACTATTTTATCATTACTTGGATTGAAGATCATAGCAGCACAAGGTAAACATATAAAGGAGAGTATTTTAAAATTTGTTAAATTTAAATATTTCTTTATATAGATCAATGCAAAATGACCCAAGAAGGCACTGATATACGACCTGGGCAAACCATATCCATATCAAGCAGTAAAAAAATTATCCAAGAATATCAAGAAAAATTAAAACATATTATATATATATATTATTATAAAAATTAAGAATATAAGCAAGGAGCGGAAAATATTGCAAGTATCAGTAAATGCAATGGGAATTTGACTGTTTCAATTGCACTAAAACAAAAAATATGTAATTAGTGTGATAAATATATTTATTTTATCAATCAAAGATAATTGACAGGATATTATTTTATTAGATATACAATCTGAAAATAGTAAACCCGTCCTTATAAATAGCCTACAAACTGAAAATTTTGGATTAGGTATTGGACCCAATCAAGTCATTAAATATTTGAAAATTAAAGATAAATCATGGGTGCGATATATTTTAATGGGTATAGATAACAGAAATAAAGATGACATTTGGATAAACGTAAGTATTTCTCTTATTTTTTTTGTAGGAAATGGAAAGGAATAAATATATTTTGTTTTTGTGTTATTTTTTTTTAAAAAAATAAACTAATTTTTTTACATTATTTCCAAAAATATGAAACTCTCGAATAGTAAGGATTATTTAATAATAATGTTAGCTCTAAAATTATAGATTATGTAATGTGGCAAATAATGAATTTATGTGTTTCGCGGTTAAAAAAATAAGATAGTGCCTTTTATATTTTTTTATAACGATAGTTCAAGAAAATTACAAAGAGGCCAGTTTGCTCTTTTTAATCTTCCATTAGCCCAGGCGGAAAAAAATGACAGGTGACAAGGTGAGGTTTATAGGAACATTAAATATGTATGATATCTCCGATTCAAATTAATTTGTAAAGCTTTTAAGATATTAAGCCACATGTTGAATTCTATATCAAATAAATTGGAGATATGATAATAGTATTTTCATATTCATTAACTAATAAAAATGTAAATATTGACAAGCGAGACTCTTGCCCTGAGAATGGCGCTATTAATTTGTCTTGTCGTCGGTAGTATGATAATAATATTATAGAATGTATATTAAATCTTTTATTATATAACAAATTTAATGATGTAAAAATAACTGATTGAACATTTTAATATAAGATCTCTTTTTATATCCAAAGTAAATCAATCATGTAAATATTTCCAAATTACATAAAATAAAAGTTTAATTTAATATATCACACGATAGCCTTAGACCTTCATTATCAAAAATGAAATATTAACACAATAAAAAATAAATCGTTACCAATATGTAACAGTAAAAAAATTAATTCCCAAATCGAGCTTCTTTTTGAGATATGCCTAACTTTTAAATAACGAGAAAAATATTCTAAAATAAACTCTCAAATTAATTTTAAAAATTCACCTTAAATAATAATTTAACTGTAAACCATTAGCTCTTTAATAGCTCTTTATATATGGCGAATTTAATATTTTGAAAATCAGCTTATTACCAATATCGAAAATGGATATAAAAAGAAAACTAAGTTTGACAAGAATTAGGGTTGCAACAATTTTAAATCTAGAATTGGCCCAATATTTTCCAAAACCCCGACCCGATATTTTAATATCTATAATCTCCTCTACATTAGCCCAAGTGAGTTACTTTACCTACATCCCTAGATTTACAAATGAAACCCCGGGAAAGTTTTATCGCAGACAAAGGCTTGAAATACATCAGCTTCATTGGAAGCCTCCTTTCCAAGTAGCCAATCTTAATGATTAAAAAAATTTTTTTTAACTTAATCCCTTTATTTTAAATATAAATTGTTTGTTTTTTTTATATTTTTCCTAATTAAATGATTGTAATTTTTTTAACTATACTTTACTGTATTTTTTTTAAAAAAATATATGAAACACCTATATAAATATTGATACAAATAAGATTTAGTTCAAAAGTTCACACCTAAATTGTGAAATTCAGAATGTGGATATTCTAACATTTAATTTAATCCGTTATTTATAGAATTTAAAATACTAAATGAACAAATAAATATCGGTTTCATTTATCGGATCGGTTATTTGAATTTTGGATCGGGTCGGTAAAAATATCTGAATCCGGCATTAGTCCTAAGTGAAACAAAATAATTTTAGACACATAAAATTATTAAGCTATTGAAAATTCGAACCGAAATTAAAAATTTTTAAGTAATCACATTTAAAAAAATTTTTTTTTAGCGGGAGTATTCTAAAACCTCACCTAGGTTTAAGATATAAATTGGGTCACTTTTTATAGAAATTACTTTTTTTTTCGAAAATTTGAGGGGGAGTGACTCGAGCCCTGTCCTCCCTTCCCCATACTTTTATAATGACGATACGGGGTAGGTTAAGTCAAAGAAATTGCAAATGCATCCTCTGGTTTGAATATTGACTTCCATATAGACCCCCCCCCCCTACTTCCTAAGCTTATAAACTTTCCATTATTATATATGTTGATTTATATAATATTTAGATTTATTTCATAACTTATAGGTAGGACCCTCATCCAAAGTTGTCAATCTCTCCTTCAAGAGAACCTAATAAACAGAAGAGGAAAAATACTTTCCAATTTGATGATTAATTTATACGTGATATTTATTCAATCACAATGATTTTTTGTTCTTAATTCATTATAACATATTGAAATAATATAAGGTTCTCTTTTTAGTGGTAGGTTCATTTTATATTATATATTATACCAATTAACCACCAGTAATTTTTTGTTCTTATATCATTATAGTATATTGGAATCATATCATTACAAAAAAAATAATAGTGCTTAATCTTTTTAAAGGGGTTCATTTTACATTATATATTATACCAATATACCACCAGTAATTTTTTGTTCTTAATTCATTTAACATATTGAAATAATATAAGGTTCTCTTTTTAGTGGTAGGTTCATTTTATATTATATTATACCAATAAACCACCAGTGATTTTTTGTTCTTATATCATTATAGTATATTGGAATCATATCATTACAAAAAAAAATAATAGTGCTTAATCTTTTTAAAGGGGTTCATTTTACATTATATATTATACCAATTTACCACCAGTAATTTTTTGTTCTTAATTCATTTAACATATTGTATTAATATAAGGTAACAAAAAAATAATAATGCTTAATCTTTTTAAAGGGATTCATTTTATATTATATTATACCAATTAACCACCAGTGATTTTTTGTTCTTATTTCATTATAGTATATTGGAATAATATAATTACAAAAAAAATAATAGTGCTTAATCTTTTTAAAGGGGTTCATTTTATATTATATATTAGACCAATTAATCACATGTGATTTTTGTTCATATTTCATTATAGTATATTGGAATAATACCATTACAAAAAAAATAGTGTTTAATATTTTTAAAGGGTTCATTTTATATTATATATTATACCAAATAACCACAAGTGATTTTTTGTTCTTAATTCATTATAGCATATTGATGTAAATATAATGAAAGAAAATCTCATTACAAAATAAATTAAAATAAAATACAAACAAACAAATAAAGTAAGCATATGAAGCGAAAAATAATAAACTTTATATTAAAGCAATCATTATTTTATTTTGTAGGGGAATCGTTTCCCTTTGGTGGTTTGTTCTACGAAAAAAAAATATTTATATCTTACCTTTATTTTAATTTTCTTTTATTCATTATTTTACTAATTGGCAAAAATATAGACAAAAAAAACAATTTTAAAATATCATGTTCACAAGAAGAGTAACAAGTAAAATAAATTTGGAAGAAAAAAATAATAATATTTTATTTCGTTTTTTCCTCTTTTTATAATTATTCTAAATACAGATAAAGTAATACCTCGATTAACTAATTACTCAACTTAATGAACCGACAAACAGGTAAACCAATACTTTGATTAACTAATTTTCCACATTAATTATCGACACAAAGTTAAACCAATACCTAGATTAACTAATTTTTCAAATTAAGCGTCCGACACATAGGTAAACTACCATGATTAACTATTTACTCAGCTTAAACATAGGTAAATAAATATCTCGACTAATTACTCAACTAAACGTCTGATACCTAAATTAACTAATTTTCCAACTTAAACGTCAGACACACAGGTAAACACCCGATAAACTTATTACTCAAATTAACGTCCGGCACATAGATCAACTAATACCTCGGTTAACTATTACTCAACTTAAACATCCTATACAAGGTAAATTAATTCCTCGAATAACTAATTACTCAATTTGAAAACTATCTTGGCCACCATTTTTTTATTTTCTAAGGGAAATCGGTAGTTTTTTTTCGCTTCATATTCTCTTAATTTCCTTTGATAGTTTGTTCTATATATTTATATCTTACTTCTATTTTAATTTTTCTTTATTCTTTATTTTACTAATTGGCAAAAATATTGACATGAAAACAATTTAAAAATAGAATATTCACAAGAAGAGTAACAAGAAAAATAAATTTGGAAGAAAAAAACAATAATTTTATTCGTTTTTTCCTCTTTTTATAATTATTCTAAATACAAAGTAATACCTCGATTAACTAATTACTCAACTTAATGAACCGACAAACAGGTAAACCAATACTTTGATTAACTAATTTTCCACATTAATTATCGACACAAAGTTAAACCAATACCTAGATTAACTAATTTTTCAAATTAAGCGTCCGACACATAGGTAAACTACCATGATTAACTATTTACTCAGCTTAAACATAGGTAAATAAATATCTCGACTAATTACTCAACTAAACGTCTGATACCTAAATTAACTAATTTTCCAACTTAAACGTCAGACACACAGGTAAACACCCGATAAACTTATTACTCAAATTAACGTCCGGCACATAGATCAACTAATACCTCGGTTAACTATTACTCAACTTAAACATCCTATACAAGGTAAATTAATTCCTCGAATAACTAATTACTCAATTTGAAAACTATCTTGGCCACCATTTTTTTATTTTCTAAGGGAAATCGGTAGTTTTTTTTCGCTTCATATTCTCTTAATTTCCTTTGATAGTTTGTTCTATATATTTATATCTTACTTCTATTTTAATTTTTCTTTATTCTTTATTTTACTAATTGGCAAAAATATTGACATGAAAACAATTTAAAAATAGAATATTCACAAGAAGAGTAACAAGAAAAATAAATTTGGAAGAAAAAAACAATAATTTTATTCGTTTTTTACACTTTGCAATTATTACAAATAAATATAAATTTATTACTATTATAATTAATTTTATAGCATAAACAATTTTTATAATTATTCTTTTTTTATTTCTTGTACAAATAATAATAATAATATATTAAAAGAATCATTGCGCATGATAATCAAAAAAATATATTCATCAATTTAACAAAAAAAAACTACCCACATAACAATCATAACATATAAATTATTTTTGTATTATTTTATTTATAAATTATGTATATAAAAAAAATGTTATAAAATGATCTATAATATTTTTTGCATAATTTTATTTATAGTACATATATAGGGAAATAATTTTCATTGTGTATAATAGTTAATTTTTTTTTAAGTTAAGTAACCCGTTACTTTTTTGAATAACCAGTAACGCGCCAACGTTACGAGTAATAACAGCATTAGTTTTTATTAACTAATAACGTCTGCTTTTTTATTTCATTAACTTCTAAATATTCCATTTTCAAAGACAAGTTATAATTTTTACATTTTATATAATATTAAATTTAATTTACATATAATTAAATAAATAGGAAGGGATTTTTATTGCCATCTCCTCACCCCCCCCCCTTATTATTCTTAGATAACAAGTTTTTGTCATCAAAATTTCTAACATATTTTAATTAAAATTCCCAAATTTTGTCTAACTTCCATATTATTTTTCAAAATAAATTTGCCAGCCCCAGCCAGCAGTTTAATAATCGTTTACTAGAGGAAAGACGAGTAATTAAAATAGAATAAATAAAAATATATTGGCATTTTTCATTTTTTAAATAAAGATTTTGAATTATAAATTTGGACGATTATGTAAAATTATGAAAATAAATACGGCTGAATATATAGTAAACGCGTTAGGTTCGAGCGTTGTATTTAACGCTTTCAAAATCTCAGCTGATTTTTCGCGGGGGAGGATTTAAAAGATAATGCGAATAGTGATAATTATTTTAACAATACATTATTTTATTTTTTCGAATTCGTTATTATTTTTATAATAGTTTTTCTCTTTTTTTTTGTAATGTCTCCAAAATAAAATGGCTTGTTATAAGATTCATTTGTATAAAAAAACAGCTGTATAATATAAATCGTTGCTTGTTTGGAAGTAAAAAATATTGCGAAAAACGTGCCTAGAGTAGGGTTACTTTTTAAATAGTCAAAAACGCGTGTTCCTGCGCTCCTTTTTTGAAGTAACATTTTTAGCACTAGTTTTTATAAATTATATTATCGTCTGCTTTTTTTATTTCATCAATTTTTTAATGTTCCATTTTAAAAGACAAGTTATTATAATTACATTTTATATAATATTAAATTTAATTTACATATAATTAAATAACTAGTATGGGTTTATTTAACGCTATCAAATTAACAGCTGGTTCTTCGCAGCGATGATTTATTAGATATTGCCAAATAGTGATAATTATTATAAATAAAATTTTAAAAATATCACATACCTTTTTATCGAATTAGCTATTTATTTTTTATCATCGCATTCTACATATGTTTTTCAAAATATATCATAACGTTATCATCAAAACACTTCATATTTTTTTAAATTATAGCCGATTTATTGGCTTGATTTTGTAAATAAAGCCACAGGTTAAACAATAAGACGTTTACTTATAAATAGATACTTAAGATATAATTTTATTGTCCAAAATAATCCACGAATTTTTCTGGCCTTATAAAAATTTTGCCTTTCATGAGTGGGTCGGTGGGCCAAAATAATGCATAATGGACATCAGAAGTAAATTGGCGTGTATATTTTTTTGATGGATATTATTAATTCACATTATAATTGGGAAACAAATTTCATGCTCTTATCTTAGATAAATTTTTTTAAATTTTTTAAATGGAAAATATGCTATAGATTTTAAATGGATTTTATTTTAAAGGTAATTTCTCGTTTCAACCAGAAAGTACTAATCCTATCAGGATTAGAACTTAGATCTATACAATAGGTGACATATACATTTACTGATTAAGCTAAGAGGCTATTCAAAAAACAATTTTATTTTGTGTATAAGGATAAAAATAAGAAGATATATAATATTTTAATAAAATAATGTTTAATGCCCTACATCATTTATTGGTTTTATTATATTTAACTTTAATATAAAATAAAATGACATTATAATAATACACCATTTTTAATAATATAATATCTTTCCTAAAAATGATATATACATATATGCTTAATCATCTACGAAATTCGCAGTTGATACGATCGTAAAAGCTAAAACGACGATATGCTTTTTAATTGCCTCAACTAAGAAACTTGATAATTTACATTCAGATTTACCATTCACTGTATGTGAAATGTTATCATTTGAAGTTGATG